ACCCACGGGCTCAGGCAATCCACTCACCTCAGGCTCCCAAAGGCACGGGATTACAGGCTGAGCCACCGAGCCCGGCTCAAACTCTCCTTTTTTAATAACAGCTAACTGCTGTACAATTAGGAGATCATCTTTAAAGTATATTATATTTTCAGCAGTAGAGAGCTCATCTCTTTAGGGCATAATTCTTTGTATTTCACAAACACTAAATACCCACTTATACAAAGCCTAGTTCAGGTTAATGTTGTGCTAATCAGGAGACCTTGAACTTATGTAAATCCTCTAAGCTTTCTTTTCCTTATCCATGATAGAAAGAGACTTGAGAAGAATATCAGAGCTTATCTGTTCAACTATCAAATCGGTTACTGAAACTGGCTAAGCTGTTAATCACTATCTTTGATAATTAACAGTTTTCTAACTTTCTGTCATAAAAATCTTATTCAGTTTTACTGATTTATCCAAATGGTACCAATTATGCACTAAGTACTAGATACAAAATGAACACACAGTTTCTTTACTCTAAAAGTCTAGTTGGGGACACAGACATGTAAAATGAAACTATACCACAAGCTGATAGATAACATAATATAGCTAACACTAAAGCTCTACTGAAAACTAGCAGAGGTGATCACCAATTTTACCTTAATGACTAACGAAAGGTTTTACTGGGAAGTGACATTTAAACTGAGTCTTAAAGATCAACTGACGTTTGCCTGGCAGAGACTCAAAAGGTAAAGAGGGGTGGGGGGTGGGGGGGCATTCCAGGCAGAGACAGGACAACATGTGCAGAGGACAAAATCATAAAAGGGAATGGAGTGTTTCTGGAAAGCGGGCATGTTTCATGTCACAGGCATGTTTTATGTCACTCAAGTATGCCCTATCAGTGCAGGGTCAAGGACAACTCCTGTATAAGCCCATGATGAACTTTTGGGGCAGCTCTCACCTTTTCCATGTTTTATCTCAAAATAATTTTTTAAAATTCAGACGTTTTAAGATCATTTAAGCCCTGAAACATCACAAAAACATATTCAAATAGAAATTAACAATACTAACTCTTCTTCCTTTCTTAACTGTACTGTTATATATCCTTATATGAAGCAACTAGTTAAATACATAAGGAAATGATGAGGAATTACTTTTTAAATTCACCTAGAGCCGGGCTCGGTGGCTCAGCCTATAATCCCGCACTTTGGGAGGCTGAGGTAAGTGGATTGCCTGAGCCCGTGGGTTCGAGACCCGCATGGGACCTCATCTCTACAATAAATCAAAAAATCAGCCGGGCAGGGTAGCACATGCCTGTAATTCCGGCTACTTGGAAGGCTGAAGCAGAAGGATCGCAGGAGCCCAGCAGGTCAAGGCTGCGGTAGCCGGGAGCGGCCACTGCACTACAGTCTGGGTGACAGAATGAGACTCTGACTCAAAAAATAAATAAACTAATTAATTAATTCACCTAGAAATGAATGCTCCTGTGCTAGAGCAACCAATTATTTATACATAATGCCATCTTTTTATTAATTAACTGTATATTAACTGTGCAGAGATAATGGCTATTAACACCTGGGGATATTTTGCTCTTAAGCAGGGGACTCCAGAGCAATTTTGATTTAAGAAAAATTTTTAAATGGAGTAAAGTCACAATTACTGCCCGGAGGTAGTGAATGCTAATATTTGCTGATACATTATTGTTAATCAGGATATTACTGATTATTCTCTCCTCAGCACTTGCCTCTGTCAGGAGTGCACCGACAGGTTCAGATGGACATTTATGGGATGGACAAAGACTAGGGAGAAAATGAAATCTGGCAGCTGGGGTAAGATAGGAATATCCTGATTAACAATAATGTATCAACAAATGTTAACAGTCACTATCTCTGGGTAGTAAATTGTGACTGTTTTACTCCATTTAAAAATTTGTCTTATATCAAACTGTACCCTGCTTAAAAACAAAATATCCCCAAGTGTTAACAACCATTATCTCTCCACAGTTAATTTAAATCTGTATCTAATTTTTCTATAATGACATGTGTTTTTATTTTGTTTTGCTTCTTATCAAAGCATAACCCCCCCTCAAGACTAGTAGCTTGTGAGACCTCTAAAAGAACGCAAGATGGAAACTACTGCTCTTAAGCACAGGTCATCTATAAATAAGAACTGTCTGTGGTAGACAGTCAGATAATGCTAATTTAACTACTATGCTTTCCAAGTTTGACAGCCTTTTGGGCTTAATATCAAATCTCATTAAAATATTATTGAAGCCGGGCTCGGTGGCTCAGCCTGTAATCCTGCGTCTTTGGGAGGCTGAGGT